ATTTAACCAGATGCAGATTTGAGAAGGGAACGACATAATAAAAAAGATCAAAAATAAAAGGAAACCCTAAGAGTGCGTTTGGATGGAGGAATTTGGAGGGGGGTTTGATTTGATGAAGGAATTTGAAATGACTCCGAATTTGGAGTCATTTGAAATCCACACCAATTGCTCTAAAACAACTAAAAAGGAGGGGTGTGGATTTGAAATTCATTCTCAAATCCCTCAATCAAAACAAGTCCAAGGGATTTGTTATTATGGATTTGAAATCCATCCTCCAAATCCCTCCATGCAAATGGACTCTAAAGAAACAATAAACCATAGCCGCCAATAAAGTGATGAGTCGTGAGATATTCACTAAATACCAACTCTAACAGTAGATTAAAATAAATCTCAAGAAAAACAACGCAAGACAAAACAAACGATCATAATGTCATAATAATAAAGAAACCAAAAACAAGGGAGATGAGACCAAGAAAAGATAGAATAGAAGGAGAAGAAATGGTATTATCCACCTCTCACGTAGAGAGATAATCGCCTTTCATATTAAGAGGACTTTTTTTTCCTGTGAAATAATTGTGGACTGTATATTCATAAATAAAATAATGGTATATTACATAACTGAAGGAGATATTATTTTCTTTACACAATATATCTCCATTTTTTAGCTTCACTGATATGCAATTGAATTCGCTGATTTAAAAAATAATAATAAATTTACTAAATATTTCACCGAATTTGAAGTCACATCATAACAAATGGCATATTATGATTTGATTGTACCTGTTTTTGTTATTTATTTGTATACATATATATAGTTTGCATGAACAAATTTATTTGAATTATATATATGGTATGCTTATTGGAGCATCTTCAAGACTCTTCTTTTTCAAGATACTTTAATATACGTTGTTTTTATTTTTTACACGTTTATGTGATTGTTGTTTAAGTACTGTTTCGTATTGATTGCATACGAACAATAAACAATGTGCAGATTACTTACATTATATTGTAATATTGTATTATCTGCGACCGCCGATGTTATTGTCTACCCTAACAAGCGTCATATTGATGCCTAAGTTTTCACGTTAAAGATTTAAGTGCATTGAAATAAATAGTTGTAAAATCTGATATGCATGATATATTATATTTTGCATATCATGTTATTGTTATTTCTAATAAATATTGGAATTCATATGCTGCGGTATTGAAAACGATTTTAAAGGTTCTTTGATTTGACATACTTTTATTTATATTACTGGAACATGACCAATTATATTGTTTTAGATAGTTAAGTAAAATTAACGAGCTTTTTTTTCTTCGATATCTTATATTGTATTATATATGAATTATAGATATGTTTGTTTATTACAAAGTGTTTTAGAATACCTTATTTTTTTCTAAATGACCCATGCATCATCCACATGGGTGAAAAGCTAGTATAAATTAAAATAAAAGTCGTCAAATAAAACATGTTATATTTATAAGAAACAATAGAAGAAAAAAAGGGAAAAGAAAGAAAAATGGAAAGCGCTTGAACCTAATTTTTAAATTTGGGTAAATAGCACTTAACTCCCTTGTAGTTTGGACATTTTGCAGATGACCCCTTATGGTATGAATTTAGGCACATAACCCCCTTGTGCTTTTGACATTTTGCACATGACCCCCCTATGGTATGAAATTAGGCACATAACTCCCTCGTGGTTTTGAAATTTTGCACATGACCCCTTTATGGTATGAAATTAGCACATAATCCCCTTGAATAGAAAACTGGAAAAAGACTAAATTACCCCTATCAAGTCAAAAGTTCTTGTTTTAATTTAAAAATAATTATTTTATAAAATGAAAAGCTTAATGTATTTTTTTTGTAAAATGAGAAATATAATATATTATTGTGTTTTTTCTATTTTATCGCACATATATTTATTTTTTTTAAATTTAATTTTCATTTCAACTTTAGAGAAAGTTTTTTTTTTAGATTTTTCTACAAGAATAAAAAAAAATAAAGACTTTTGTTTCTTAAAAAAATTAAAGTTCGATAACAATTATAATATGATATATTATATAGAAAATAGTAATATAATAATCATAATTAATGAAAATGTTAAAGATTTTCAAATTGATTTTTAAATCGAATAAATTGTCAATCGTACAATAACTAGCATTTTATACCTTTTGTGCTATAAAAGTAAATAAAAACACAATAATATATTAATTTCTCATTTTACAGAAAAATACATTAAACTTTTCATTTTATAGAATAATTATTTTAAATTAAAACAAATTTTTTTGACTTAATAGGGGTAATTTAGTCTTTTCCAGTTTTCTATTCAAGGGGGTTATGTGCTAATTTCATACCATAAGGGGGTTATGTGTAAAATTTCAAAACCACAAGGGGGTTATGTGCCTAATTTCATACCTTAAGGGGGTCATGTGTAAAATGTCAAAATCGCAAGGGGGTTATGTGCCTAAATTCATAACATAAGGGGGTCATGTGCAAAATGTCCAAACCACAAGGGGGTTAAGTGCTATTTACCCTTTAAATTTTAATGTTTAAACTTGAAAGTAAAAATTTAAAAAAGAAAATTAAGTTGCCTACTTATCCTTTAATTATAACACGAATCAAAGTCACATAGTTCTTATAAACTGACTTTGCTTACGTTGTGCTTTGGTGTCGGTATCTCTACAAATTCGTCATTGTACCCCAATTAAATTTCTCATTGCACACGATACACCTCTCTTGTCCAATCGTCCAAAAGTGCCTGAGCTTCTAAATTATCCGCTTGTAGTGGTGATCTCTTTAGATCTAAAATATTGCGGATTATTTGAGAAAACCCCATATGCCTTCTACAGTTAGTGTAGACCCAATTATTATTATTAATTTTTTTTATAGAAAAATCCAAAGTTTTATCTATCAGCTTTTTTTATTACTATCTCTCTATAATACCCTTATGTACTGCCTTGTATAGATCCAGTTTTACCTTTTCTAATTCGACAAAACCTATAATTTAATATTAAATTATAATAATATTTCAATTACACCTTACCTTAATCTTGTCACACGATGTTTTCCGATTCTTTTCTTTCAACTGTAACCGCCCCCTCTCTTCCTCCACATTAGCAATGATCTTACCCAAATCTCGGTCCTTTTCGCCGAGGGTGAGACCTCCACCGCCTCCGCCTGCCTCCTTATTATCTACCACATCAGTCGCCGCGGCTCCTTCATCCTCTAGGGCGGAGATCTCCATCTTCCCAGCCGGCGGAGAAAGAGGTTGTGTTGTTTGGCGGTGGTATCGACGAGATGTACAGGTAATTTGAAAAAAAATGGAGAATTTTGATTTCCTGTTCATTTTTGTACTGGATTTTTCGGAGCCTTTCAACTTTTAATTGGATATTTTTTTCTTCGGGAATGCGATGTTCATAAATTTAATTTAATTTAATGTCTTACTTTCTTCCATTCGAATGGAAACTCATGTTTTGTTGGTAGGTGATTTTTTGTTGTGGATTTCTATATTTTTGTAGTGGTTTTAAATTGACACGTTATTGTCTTCTTTTTCTATGTTTTAGGCTTTTGAGCAGGCGGAGCGGTAGCAGCAAGGGTGACTAGGGTAGGTGATGCTCGGATCTTACAATTGTCAGTGGTGCCGACATTTGTTGGAGCTTTTTTTTTTTTTTTTTTTTTGTTTTTCTGTATATATAAATAAATCAGTTTTTTTTGTTAATTTAGTAGTGTATTACGTTAATTTGATATTATTGTATTACATGGATTTTGTAGTGAATTATTTTAATTTTATAACATATTCCATTAATTACATAGTGGATTTCAATAGGTTTTTAGTGGATCTCAATTTGATATTACATAGTGAATTTGAATAGGCTTGTAGTGAATTTCAATTTGGTAAAGCATGCTGGAAAAAATTTAAAAAATTAACCAATCTTTTTTAAAAAAGAAAATGAAAAAGATAAAAGTAAAAAAAATCAAAACATCGAAAATATCCAATTTTTAAAAGAAAATCAAAATAAAAAAAAAATATTTAAAAAATAACCGAAAATAAAAAACAGGAAAGAAAAATAAACATAAAAACCCCAAAAGATACCAATCGAGGTAATTTAGGTATTCTGCAATGAGAGGGGTTATCCAAAAAATAAGATTAAAAGCTGCCTTCTCTTAAGAAATTAAATGATGGGTTATCTCAAATAGTTCTGAAATATTGCCACCCGCACCAAACGCTTGTTCACTTGCAGCGGTACCAATCGGGCTAGTAATTGGTGGCAACTTCCTTCATTTATTTTATATATTTTTGAACCGCCGGTTAATGGTTCAATATTTTGTTGAACCGGAACCGAACGTTCTGAACCATACTACCGATTCCCATTCAAGTTTTGGTTATCCGGCCCGTTGACCCCGGCCCGTTCCGATTCGAAATCGGAACCATGGATAGGTCTACACGTGGGTGATGATTCTAGTAATACTAAAATTAGTTTTTTCATTCGTAAAATTATATTTATTTAAGATCAAATAAAGTATTAAATAAAATTATAAATACCCAATTAAAAATTAAATTTATTTTAATTTTTATAATATAAAATTTTGAAATAATATCCCGTGCACAAACCAACAATAACAAGAATACAATAAACAACTTTTCTTAGTCAATGTTTTCTTTCAAAAGCAAGAAAACAATACATAGAACGAAGTAGAATTTTTTTATTTAAACAAAAAAAAGGGAGAATAAATTAGGTTTCCAATATATCCAAGTCAATCAAATTTCAATCAATTGACACTAGGAATCTACCAAAAAAACTTGTAATAGATATCGAATTCCGCAACTACAAGCAAATATAAATACATATTTTCGGCATCGATGAAATTTGATAGCCCCTTGTGTTGATAGTCTATACAATCTCTTTCACACACAACACACACAGACACAATTGACTCCGTTTCTTCAATTCCTCTCTCTCTCTCTCTCTCCTCCGTTTTCCGTTCACTCTCTCTCTCTCTCTCTCTCTCTCTCTCTCTCTCTCTCTCCATTGGGGTTGCCCGTCCGCAAAATTCCTTAAAACCCCTCTCATCAGAAAACCCTCAATTTCAGAATTCCCCACACGGATTCGTCCAATTTTTTCGCAAATAGAAACCTAATTGCAGCGAATTTTGCTTCATCAATGGCCGCGCCGGAGCTAGCTCAAACCGACCCGGAGGGAATTGAAGGAGTCCGGATGACGTGGCTGAATTGGCCGCGATCCAAGGTGGAGGCGTCGAAGTGCGTGATCCCGATCGCCGCCTCAATTCAGCCGATCCGCCCCCACGTGGATCTGCAGATCCTCCCCTACGCTCCCCTCCGATGCAAAACTTGCTCCTCTGTGTTAAACCCCTTTTGCCGCGTTGATTTCACCGCTCTCATATGGATCTGCCCCTTTTGCTTTCAAAGGAACCATTTTCCGCAGCACTATTCCTCGATTTCGCAGACGAACATGCCTGCCGAATTGTATCCCAATTTCCCATCCATTGAGTACTCAATCCCTAACAACCAGAATCCGCAGAATTACAATCCTGTTGTGGCTCCTTCTCCAATTTTTCTGTTTATTCTGGACACGTGCATGATCGAGGAGGAGCTGGAGGCCGCCAAATCTGCGTTGAAACGAGCCATCGGAATGCTTCCCGATAATGCCATGGTTGGGTTCATATCTTATGGTACACAGGTGCAGGTGCATGAATTGGGGTTCTCTGAGATGTCGAAGGTGTATGTGTTTAGGGGATCTAAGGACATGTCGAAAGATCAAGTCTTGGAGCAGTTGGGCCTTGGTGTTTCTGGTGGTAGACGTTCTGGACCCGGTATGCAGAAGACTGGCGGTGGACCTAGCCCCTTGGCTGGGGCTGGTCCTAATTCGGGGATTAATCGCTTTCTGTTACCGGCTTCTGAATGCGAGTATGCATTAGATTCGGTAATTATTCTATACCTGTTATCTGAATATCAATTTTCTTCTCAGTTTGTGGTATGGTGTTGATTTTTTGGTATCGTTTGGCGTGGATATACATACTTGATCATAGTTGTTGGAAGCAAAATTGACTTATTATTCAATAATTATATTATTTTGTATAATCTTGGATTCCGGGAATTTGATTAGTGTTATTTTCTCTTTCTGCTTGTTCTGTGATGCAGTTGTTGGATGAATTGGCGACAGATCAATGGCCGGTGGCACCAGGAAATAGGGCATTAAGGTGTACAGGTGTTGCTTTGAGTGTGGCAGCAGGATTGCTGGGGGCATCTACAGCAGGAACCGGTGCAAGGATTATTGCGTTAGTGGGGGGTCCATGCACGGAAGGTCCTGGAGCGGTAAAGCCTTGAATTCTTTTATCATTTTGTTTTATTGTATTTATCAATTTTTTATATTGTATTTTTATGCTTCTTATTTGTATTATTTTATTATGCTATTCTGTGGATAACTTAGAATGCCATTGATATTTGAAAAACACAACACGTTTTGTTCATTAGCTCTGTTTGTTGGTTTTCGAACTTCAATTTTAGTTTTTTTTCCCTGGTGATGGTTACTCAGATACTCTTTTAGCTCCACAATCATTCATGTAGTGACTTGTTAGGAAAAGGACTATCTCATGATAGAGATTATGCTATGTAAATGTTCCAGGAATTTAATCATTGAATAAATGCATACATATCAACATTATATTTTGTTAATGCACCTCCGATATGTGTAGAGACAGTTCAGGTTTGCTTTGACATCTGTTAACACAACATTCCATTGATTGTTTGGGCTGGAATTCTTATGAGTGTTGTAATGTCTTTAATAAGGCCGTTTTTTTTTTATATAAAAAAGGATAATTGCTTTAAAGTTCGGTAACCAATCTTACTCAAAATATTTGTTATACACTGCCTGTTGAGAAAATATGTCTGATTAAGGGGGCCTCTTAAGCAGGCCTTGTCTCTTCACTTAACATTGATGTCCGTTTAACACACTATAATAAATTTTGGGCAACTTTTTACCTTTAATCTGAATTCAAATATAAACAGAATGAGATTTGGACCTATATGTGTACATGGTATTCTATATTCATATGTTTATTAAAGTAAGATATAGGAATTCCATGCAGTCATGTTTCGTACTTCTGTGTGGTGTTTGACTACGTATGAGTGATATGTGGAAGGAGCAGTGCTTATCACTCTTTTAACTTATGTGTTTTTCTCATCCCGACTTTGAGGTTACTGCTATACTGTTTACATTTGCGACTATGTTTATATCTATGAGTATAAAGAACTTGGACTAACGCCATGCAAATGTATTTCAAAGTTTTGCTATACATAAATATCCATTAGTATCTAGCTTGATATACAAATCGTGTTTACTTCCATATTTCATTCCTACCATGTTCTGTTTGGCAAAAAGAAAACAAAGAAAAAAGAAAAAAACCTTTGTTCGGTTGGTAATTGACTCTTGACTTATTGCCATCTAGACATATTGCCATGACCATTTTCTCCTTTTTGATTTAATTTGAGCTCATGGTGTTTTTGCTTACAGATTGTATCAAAAGATTTGTCTGAACCAGTTCGTTCACATAAGGATCTTGATAAGGATGCTGCGCCCTTCTTTAGAAAAGCAGTCCATTTCTATGATGAACTTGGAAAACAGTTAGTTAGCCAGGGCCATGTGTTGGATGTCTTTGCTTCTGCACTTGACCAGGTTTGTTATAGCCAACTTGAATCGCTATTTGATTTTGATGGTCTGTGTACTACTACTATTTAGGCTTAGTTTGAAGAAACATGGATGCAACACGCCAGCATGCTATATGCAATGTTGTAGATGAAATATAGAGAATTCGTGTGAAACTTAAATGGATTTGTTTTTAAAATTTAAATTCACTTCTCTGGACCACTCTATGCATTTATTCCAAGTGTAGTTTCTATTTAATGTGAGGGTCTATTGTTGTCTTGGATAATTCTTATTGTACTGGTTGCTTTAACTATATGAGCGTATTGTAGTATAATAATGTATAGGCACATGAATGCATACTGTTGAAGAAATATTACTGCTCTCTGAGGCGCCCCAAAGGCAGCATTTCCTAAAATGATTCCCTACATGCCCAGTGAAAAAAAAGCCATTTCACTAAGTCATAATGGGAAACCACATGTACAACTTGTCATGTGTTCAAATGTTATCCAAAACCTTATATTTGTTCCAGCTTGACCTATAAAATATATGATAGAGGGAGTAGTTGCCTTGCCTATACCTTTGGCTTGAGCAACAGTAATGAACACTGCCTTGTTTGTTACCAGTTACAATTTTTGGATCTGTTTACAATTGTTGATGCATTGAACAGTGATGTAAAATCTGCTTAGTTTCAAGTACAATCACTTTCCAGCCTTACTTAAAGCATAAGTCTTCAGGTCGGCATTGCGGAGATGAAAGTGGCCATTGAAAAAACTGGTGGACTCGTCGTTCTGGCTGAAAGTTTTGCCCACTCTGTTTTCAAGGATTCATTCAAGCGCATTTTTGAAGATGGGGAACAGTCTTTGGGGCTTTCATTCAAGTAAGTTGATATACATGGAAAACATTTTTAGCATAAAAATCAAGTTATATTCTGTCCAGCCACGAGACTGAGTTAAGCATGTATTAATTGACTAAAAGACTTCGCTTATGTCCGTTAATCAAAGTATTGCTTAGTGTATGTATTTGCGATCTTGATTGTCTCCAATTTCTCTTCTTTATTTAATTATTTACGGAATTATGTCATTCGGGTCTGTGTCTTTTATCATAAAACTCATCTTAGATTCTGCTTAAGTGTGGAAGTTTTAGTTTGCCACGGTATTGCAACTGGGCAATCATTCTGCATGCTACATGTAGAGCCCTTTGCTGATGTAGGTATATCAGGGGATTTTTCGATTCTACTTCCTATGTCCTCGTGTTTTATTGTAATTCCTACTTCATAAAAGTCTACTTACTTCCTATCACTTTTATGAGCTTCACGACCAAAATTGAAATCTCGTTTCTGCCGTTTTTTATGCCACTGGTGTTAAGTGTAATTTCGTTTTCGGTATGTAGTGTTTAATGTAATGTAGAGGTGCAAATTTGGTGGTGATGTTTTTCATGTGACAGTGAAGTGCCAAATAACGTTTAAGGGTGAATTTGTGTTATTTTGATTTTCATTGAAACAATGTTGTGATAATTTGTTACAAGTGAATTATGGAAAGCGGAATAATATTTAACATTGAATGTGTTTTAGTGGCACACTGGAGATCAACTGCTCAAAGGATATAAAAATCCAAGGAATCATTGGTCCATGCACATCACTGGAGAAGGTCTGGTTATCCAAAGTTTACCAACTTATTTTCAAAAGCATGTTATCTTATACTACTGTAACTGGAACATTATATCCGGAAGGAATAACAATTCTAATTTGATACTGTCTGGTACCTTGGTTGATACTGATCAGAGGAACTATTTTGCAGAAAGGACCTGCTGTAGCTAATACTGTTATAGGACAAGGGAATACTACAGCGTGGAAGATGTGTGGCCTGGACAGAAGTACATGCTTAACTGTCTTCTTTGATGTTTCTTCTAGTGAAAAGTCCGATCCTGCAGGGCCGAATCCTCAACTATACATACAGTTCCTCACAAGGTATATACAGATAGATAATCTTTAAATGCCCTTCGCTTTAAAATATAGTCCTACTAATATCTGTCAAGATAAATGAAATTAACACAAAAGGCGGCAATACCCGCTCTTTATTTTTTTAATTTAATTTAATTTTATTAATTTTTTTTGGCAACTTTCGGACTTTAGCATGTTGATGCCTGTTCTTTCTGTCGCGATAAAGATGTTAATTTCCATATTGCTAATGTATTTTCCCAACTTAAAGAAGTGAAAAGAAATTTTTCTTTTGAACACAGTTATCAGAGCCATGATGGCCAGATGCGTCTGAGAGTTACAACTGTTACTAGACGATGGGTGGATAGTTCCTTGGGCAATGAGGTAGGATGACTAGTTTTTCTCTATCCATTTTCCATGTCTATTTCTTTCTTGTTATCCAAGTAGAGAAAGATTGTCCACACCAGAACGTTGAGAACACGAGAACTATCTAGCCTTACCTGGTTCTGTTTGTGATTGGGCCCTTGTTTCTTGTGTTAATATTAGCATTCGATTCAAATATTAATCTAGAACCCCTGAATATCATTTATGGTCAATTCTCTCTGTTGTAATTTAAATCGTGCATCTGATTTCTGTTTGCGGATCTGTTTCTAAGATAGTTTGGACGACCACAAATTTATGATGTGGACTGCATGTTAATTATGACACAGGGACTTCTCTTGGATTGATGACAATACGTGACTGACATGCCTATATTAGTTTGAACAGTTGATGTTTTAAAATCTGTTTACTTAAATAAATGTGATTTACTCAGTGGCCACTACAAGTTTAGACTTTAGATTATGCACAAAAGGTTCCTATAAGTTATTAATGTATGTTTTGTCTTTTTTTCTTTTTTTTTTTTTTTTTTTTTTTTTTGCCGCTGGGCAAAGATTTTCGGAATTTCTTAGTCTTTCCTATTTATTTTTCTGAGCATGTTTGTATTATGTTTTGTCAATTGACTTTCAATTTTGTAAGCTTTCTTACTTAGTATGCATTTAGAAATATCTTCAAACATGGAATGGACTGTAATGTCATTGGTAATTTGCTCTGTGCCTGCAGGATTTAGTTCAGGGATTCGATCAAGAAGTTGCGGCTGTAGTCTTGGCCAGACTAGCTTCTTATAAGATGGAGGTGGAGGTAATATAATATAATATAGAACCGTGACTAATGTGGATGACAAATTCTCATCCATCTGGCATAGGTCTAGGCTTTTCTTATGAATTAAAAGCTAAAACCTAGTTCTTGCTGCATAACGCAGCTATGATTCTGAATTTCGTCCACTAGTAAGTTTGAAAAATGAAGCTTGAGATAACTGTATTGGCATAAAATTATCTGACAATATTTGGGCATGCGTTGGTTTATATTGAAATGAAAAATTTCAAAATAAAACTAAAATACGTAACCAGAACATACAAAAGTTTGGACATGCATTTGTCTACTGCAAGTTTATCACCGTTGCTTCATGAGTGAAACTGCTCATCCTTTTTCCTGCATGGTTGAATTCGAAATGGATCCACGGTGTTCATTTTTTCCTACCGTAATTTCTTTGACCAATATTGAGGGTGGCTTTCGAATTTAGCATATTTTTCAGAAATTTATGATATTTAAAAAAGAAATGATGAAATTTTCAAGGTCAGAAGAATTATTGCCTTTGATTGCATCTTAGGGTGTTGTTTTATGGTACCTGTGACTTCATTTATTATTTCATCCATCAACTTGTTTTCCCTTGCCTTAAAACTTGGTGGACACATTCATCAATTTGATTGGTTCTATATTTGCAGGAAGGTTTTGATGCCACAAGGTGGGTAGATAGGAATCTGATTCGTCTATGTTCCAAATTTGGGGATTATCGGAAAGATGATCCAGCCTCATTCACATTGAATCCCTGTTTTTCATTGTTCCCCCAGATCATGTTTAATCTGCGTAGATCACAATTTGTACAGGTCAACTGCTTATAATGTTTATTTTCTTCTTTTTCACTTTTGCTTGTTTTATAATCTGATATCTCTATCTTTCCCTTTTTTCTCTTAGGTATTCAACAATAGTCCTGACGAGACAGCCTATTTTCGCATCTTATTGAACCGGGAGTCAATAAGCAATGCCATAGTCATGATTCAGCCCTCATTAGTATCATATGCATTTAATGCACATCCTGTACCAGTTTTGCTCGATGTCCAATCCATAGCAGCTGATCGTATTCTGTTGCTGGACTCCTATTTTAGTGTAGTTATTTTTCATGGAATGACAATAGCTCAATGGAGAAACATGGGTTACCAGAATCAGCAAGGACATGAGGTACATTTTCATGCTGATGTCTTTGTTTGTGGTTGTGAATATATATTATCTGTAAATACTTTTAGATCTTGGGCTGTTATTCACTTCAAAGCATTCTGTTTTCTCTTAGTTTGGTTGCTGAAAAGAGAGATTTGTTTGTTGTTGTATCAAGAAATCAGTTTGTCGCATCCTTCTAAATCTTTTTTTCTTAAAACAATTTTTCTTTAAATCCGACGTAGAAGAGGAAATATGGACAAATATAAGGGAATTCTAACATGCAAGACAAGAGTTGAAGAATATTATATCCGCACCTATTTGTTATCTGTATAATATCTTTTCACGAAGTCCAGTAAATGGGTGTTCTAGAGTCCTAATGAATTCTCAGTTTTTCGGTATTCACCTGCATTAATTTTTAAATGCTTTCATGATTTACAATAGTATCAGGAACGATAAATTGTCTTTATAGGATATACCTTATCTCTTCCAAATGAAGTTGTAAACCTAGTGGAAGTAGGAGATGGTACAACCTATTTATAGAGATCTAATCTTTTTTAATGCTTAATTAAAATTGTTGATACTATCAATGTAATGAGTTTTGAAGAGATCTCGATTTTTGTTAGATCGTATGATGTGATTCAAAGTCTTTGGGTGATACATTTTGAGTGAAATGCCTTGTTTACTTTGCTTTCTTACTTTATTGAAAGTTTCCACCTTCTTGTTCATAATCAACTAAAATTGGCTTTGGTACCGTAAATTCTCGTTGATGAGTGATTTTCTGGTCCGTAAACAGAACAAAAAATGCTTCATCTAGTTTTTGTTTTATGTCAAAGTTTTGCATTATTTTCCACGGGATTAAGATAAATTTCCATTCCCATGTTACAGCCTTTTGCCCAGTTATTGCAAAGTCCACATGACGAAGCACAGTTAATAATTCGTGAACGGTTTCCTGTACCAAGACTTGTGGTTTGTGATCAACATGGCTCTCAGGTAATAAACTTGATTATTCGGTATATTACCTTTAAAGTAAATGCTAATTCTGTTATCTATAAATAGAAAATTAATAATGTCTCCGAATATCGGGTTCTCTGAGATCCATATAGTTTATGATGTGGTAGGTTGGATAAATAGACGAGTTTCTTTGAATGCACATAAAATTATTGATCTGTCGACACGCTAGTTTAATAGACCTTTTTGGGATTTGGAATGTATTGGAGTCGCCGTAAATAAATGGAATGGTTCGTTTCTTTAAAATAATGTCTCGTGGTGATTTAAATTTTAAAATCTTGGAACAGGCACGATTCTTGTTGGCAAAGTTGAACCCTTCGGCGACCTACAACAATGCAAATGAGATGATGAACAGTGGCTCGGATGTGATTTTCACTGATGATGTGAGTCTACAAGTATTCATTGAACACCTTCAGCGGCTCGCAGTCCAAGCTTCTTAAGACTCAGTTTTATGCCTATTTGTAATCGAATCGCAAGAACGTATGTCGATTGCTGTTTGAGCAAATAGGAGAAAAGAAAAAAAAAGTGCTGTTCGTTTTCGGGGGTGAGATGTTTCTTTTTCTTCGTTTGTAATTTTAAGTGGCTGTGGAGAAAAAAAACAAAGAAGAGAAGAGGATATAGCTGTAAGTTAAAAGACATTTTTGGGTTCAGGATTATATATTGATTGATTGGTATTTTTTACCTTTGAAATTGTGAATCACTCACTACTGCATAAGACTGGATTACATTTTTGTATTGCGCTTTGAAGGTAGACCAGTTGTTTAGTATGCAACCTTTTTTATTTTCTTAAATATTTATTTGAAATATTTAATTTGAAGTATATTACTACTATGCCCCTAACCCCTACTTGTGGTATAAAGCTGCTTCCTTTTTGTTTTTAGGGTAAATTACACCCACACCCCTGAGGTATGCTTAAATAACTTTAAGGTCCCTGTGGTATCGATAATTACACTCACCCCCTTGAAACATAGTTATAAACTCTAATGGGATAGTGCATTGGATACTTTATTACGATAGAGTTCTAACGGATTATTGGTTTCAAGAACTGGTGGAGACAACAAAGAGTTATGGGTGATTTAAGAAATATTGGGGGAGTTATGTCACCCCATAACTCCCCATAACTCTATGTTATCTCCACCACTAGCTAAAAGTAATAGTCTATTAGAACCCTATCGGAATAATGTATCCAATGCATTATCCTGTTAGAGTTTCTAACTACGTTTCAGGGGTTAAGTGTAATTATCGATACCATAGGGACCTTAAAATTATTTAAGCATACCTCAGGGGTGTGGGTGTAATTTACTCTTGTTTTTATCTTGAGTTTATATCATTTGTTATTTTTGTGTTACATCAAATTGCTGAAAACTTCCCATGGTTTAATATTAACAAAAGTGCTTCTATTATGTTTATTTTTAGCTTTTTAGATGGTGGATTTTAGTTTTTAGTAGGTAGTCTACTAAAATATTTGAATCATATGGTTATTTTTGCTAATGAAAATAACACCATTTTTTTTAAAGTTAGATTAAATATAGTGGTATTGAAGAAAATATGTATATTCTTTTTTGGAACCTGGATCTTATATTTCTACATTGTTTATTCATATGTATTGCTAAACTAGAAAGGTGCATTTGAGCTGCACTACTAATTATTCTATGTAATTCTTTGTTTCTGGTATTTACTTTAGGATAGAGTTCACTTTGCCATGTACTATTGTTACTATCACATTCATCCTCTAGACTAGGGAACGTACCAAAGAGGTACCAAGTTTACCAATGTTACTCATTCCGTCTCTTTGTGGTGACGTGGCGTGTTGACTTTTAACCTTTGGTTTTTGTGACAATTTTACCCCATAAAAATTCTAGTGTATGTTTCTTTATCAAATAAAGTGATATTCTTTTAAATTTTTTATTTTTATTTTTTTTCAATTGATTTGATAGAAATTGTACGGTTGTTTGGATTGAGGGAATTGACAAGGAATTTGAAATCCATATCCCTCCCTTTAAGTTGCTTTTAGAGCAATTGGTGTGGATTTCAAATACTCTAAATTTGGGTAATTTCAAATCCATTCCCAAAATCAAATCCCCCTCCAAATCTTTCCATCCAGATGGACCCTTAGATTATAAGATAACGCGCATTTAATTAATTGATCAATCATCAAAAGCATTTAAACATCAGTTGTAAATTCACACAAATAAAATTTTATTAATGAAAAGACCGTTTACATAAATAATGAGGTATTTTTTATACTATCCTAACAATCTTCAAGTTAGACAAAGCCACACTGCTATACATTTTAACCATAATCCATAAAGATGACTATTAAAATAATTCGCCGGAAGGCTTTTCGTGAGTGGATCCAACTAGGTTATCTTATGATGCAATCTCTGTGACTACTGCGTCTCCTCGACCAACGAATTCTATAATGAGGTGATACTTCCGTTCAATATGCTTTCCTTTCTTGTGGGATCATGGTTCCCTCAAGTTTGCTACCGCCCCACTATTGTCACAATATAGCACATAGCTAGTCGAATTGCTAGAATCACTCCTAAGCCCATACGAAAATTTCTTAAGCATATAACCTCCTTTGCAGCTTCAGATGCAACTGCATATTCGGCTTCCATAGTCTAATCAACAATTCAAGATTGCTTGATAATTCTTCAATTAATGGCTCCACCACCCAAGCAAACACATATTCCGATGTTGATTTTCGAGAATCTCTATCGGATTGAAAATCCGAGCAAGCGTATCCTAAGGGAACTAGGTTGTTGCCTTGGTATACTAGCATATAATCTCAAGTCCTCCAGGGATAGTTGAGAACACGCTTTATCGCGGTCCAACGTCCCATTCCTGGATTAGACTAGTATTGGCTTACTATGCCTATGTCAAAGTAGATGTCCGGTCTAGTACGTAGCAAATTATACATGAGACTTCCGACTGTTGAAGCATAAAAAAATGTCTTTGTTTTTTCTATCTCATCATTTGTCTTGGAGATTGATCTTTATATAGAGAGATTCCATGTCTAAAAGGTAAAGATTTTTTCTTGGAATCTAGCATGCTAAAACGAGCAAGGATATCAGTATGACTTACACCTGAAAGCCCTAGCATCTTATTCTTGCGATCTCACATAAGCTTGATCCCAAGAATATACGAGGCTTCACCCAAGTCTTTTATATAGAGTTGACTCAATAACCAAACCCTAACAAATGATAGAATTCTACACCGTTTACTTTGAGAAGTATGTCATCTAAGAATACCATGGTTCATCCGGACGTTAACTGAAATCAATAGAATCAATTGATTGATCGAAATGAAATTTAATTTCCATGATCTTGATGCTTGCTCGCGTCCATAAATGAAATGCTTAAGTTTGCATATTAGATGTTCTTGGCCTTTAGCTATGAAACCATGAAGTTGCATCATATAGATGGATAGACTTCCATTAAAGAAATGTGTATTGATGTCCATATGTCGTATTTCCTAATCAAAATAGGTGGCAATGGAAAGTAGAATGCACATAGACTTAAATATGGCTACTAGCGAACAAGTCTCCTCATTACCGGTCCCTTTTTTTCCCTCCATGAGTGAACCTTTTCGCTACTAGTCTCGCTTTGAAGGTTTCCACATTTCTGTCTATGCCTCTCTTTCTTTTATAAATCCACTTGCATCGTATGGGGCGGATCTCATTTGCTGGTTATACAAGTTCCCAGACTTGGTTAGAATGCATAATCCACTGTTTTAAGCCAATTACTATAATATATATCGCGGATTGTTTCATCATAATTTCTAGGTTCAGATACTTGTTCTTCCGGGAGCTTGTCACAGGATTCTCTAAGAACATGTATCTTTCAGGTTCATTTCGAATCATCCCACTACGATGAAGTACCATTGGTGTTACGTTTGATCCTCAATTTCCCTCCCAATATCTACATATATTATATTTTTCATTTTTCTTTTTTACTTACTAGTAAACGAACTGCTATGAATTTTTTCATGCAAACACTCTTAGAGTAGGTGACCAACAAGCCAAATTAAGACTGTGGTCTTTTCATTTTTACTTGTAAACAATCTATTTCGTAATCAATGAAAATCTATTTTTGGCAAGCTATAACATTTATTTATACGTAGATAATTTATTTAGCATCCTAACAATTAAATTAGTTTCTAGTCGATGGGTTACCCAAATAATTAGGATAGCGACCTTTGTTGTTTGAGACTAGCACTTAGTGTATGTGAGTTGAGTCTCATCAACTACAATGTAAAGACTTTAGCATACATAAGTGAATTCTCATAGTCGACGAGTTCAATGAACACCCTCGTCCTAGAATATCTAAGTGGTTCCCAATAACCGAGTAGAAGTTCTATGATTATATTTGTATACAATTAGTCCATATGACCTAATACATCAATGCGACTTTATTAGAGGACCAACTGTGTTATGACCTATCCCTAAGTCTCCTCGAAGACCGCTCAAACGGCCAACATTCACGTAGCTCGAAATCTCGTGTGAGGTTTTGCATTTTAGTTAGGGATTTAACCGTTTGCTTAATTGCATGTTTGTCCTGTGTGTTCTTCAAGTATATCGTTCAAGGAATCTTCGGCCGAAGTAGAAAGTGTGGTGATTAGAGAAAATGGTTTCTCAAAGTCACATACGAATGGACTTTATGGCTTTGGAACGCAAGCAAAACTATCGAATAATATTAGAGGTCTCAGTGGACCAATGCCTCTAGTTCGATTGAGACATATGTTTGTTAAAGGGACCGCTCTGTACGCGAACTATAATTAAAGGTTCTTTGCAGGCACTTCATCTGTATCTAGGGAATTATGATACGTAGTTGTTAGACGTCAATTATAATTCGTTTGGCTTTAACCGATATGATCGGCGATGAAGATTAAAATTGTTTTAATCCAAATTGAAAAATTTGGGACAAGTCCGTAATCGAATAAAGAGTTATTCGAATCACAAAGAGTTGTGGGCCTACGACTAGTTTACACCTGAACCATTGATTGTCGCACTTCTTGTGGAGAGGATTCCTTAATATGGTGAAGTAAGATTAGTTAGTTAATCTTAGCTAAAATAGATTCAATATGATTGAATCTAAAATTCATAAGAGTTGATTATGAATTAAAAGAAAACGAGGAAATCATTTTTATAGATTTTATGTGAACTTTCTAAATTGAGAATTCTACCAATTTGGGAGGTACCACGGAAATAGAGGTTTCCAAAAGTGAAAAACTGAGAAATACAATATAAATGCAATATGGTACTTGAAATCACGAGGAGATTATAATCCTCACGAATGTATAATTGTTATACTTTTTTGGAGTTGGCATTTGAGAGTTACTAGGAATTAAAGAAAGGTGGTTCTAAAAGATTCTTCACGAGCTTGAGTTTTTGACTTCTAGTTTAATTAAGAGACCAAATCTACAAGTCAAATAAATCCCATAAATAAGATGTTTGGGATGGATAATTAACACCAATGTTGTTAGAACTGGACCGAATCGGCCGGTCGGACCGGTTCGACCGTAACCCGGCAATAAAGCGGTCCGATCTGACATCTAAAATTGGAAAAATCGAAAACCGGGGTCAAATGAGCAAAATCCGGTTCGACCAGGTAAAAACCCGAGAACCGACGAGTCAGTCAAGGAACCCGATTTTCGGCCAAAACGTCTCACATCACCGCTGAGTTGGTTATTTGTGGCTAGATTTGAGCGAACCTTGACAGACTTAGTAGTGGATGGCCGGATCTAGTCATGAGTGATCGAAAGATTGTTGGATATGGTCATGAGTA